ATATATATATATACGACACATTAGAAATTATGGGTTGTTCTGAGTTACGACCAGTATCTTAAAGGTGAAACCGAGCAAAGCATGATGGAATGGAAAACGTCAGAGTGAATTACCTGTAACAAAAAGACAAAAGAATGTCTGGGGTTGTGATGGAATAGTGTTTCTTACACAGCAGATGCTGGGGGTACAATGACAAACAGGACGAATTCTTTCCAGTCCTGACCCTGGTTACAGTGCACCGGGAGAGGCAGGAGACAGACAAGCAAATAAACAAGTCAGAGCTGATTAAACAGTACAAATTAGCAAGGTGCAGAGGAGGAAGGCCAGGGCTGTGAGGTCTTCAATGAGGCAGTGAGGTGAGGTGAAGCTACAGGTGTGGAGCAGAGCCGGTATGGGCCAGGAGATGAAGTGAAGAGAGAGCATCGCAGGCCAGGTGAACAATTGTGGGTTTTACTCCAAGCAGGTGCTTTAGGCCCCTGAAGGACTTCTGTCAGGGGAGTAAAACCATAGTGCTACACTTTGAAAATATCATCCTCTCTTCTCCATGGAGAATGGGTTAAAAATAAGGCAGGGTAAAGCAGTTGGGAGGCTTTTCACAGCCTGAGCTGAGATTATGGCAGCCTTGGCTAGGGTCTTCGCAGGAAGGAGAAGCCAGAATGGAAGGAGCAAGCAGGTTGCCATGAATCTGACAGGGAACTGACCTGTCATCAGTATGGGGTGAGAGGGAGGGACACACCACACAATGGCCAGCCTCTTGGCACTAAAGTGAGAAAAATGACAAACACTGATGATGGCTTCCTTTGGAAACCTGCTCATCTAGCAGACTTAACACAACACCAAAACATGATAAAGCAATTGGATGTGGCCTAATGGAACATGCTTCTTATGGATAGTGTGGCAGCCTAACGGTGGTTGGAATACAGCTTTGCTGTTGGTTCTAAATTTTTTTTTTTTTTTTTTTTTTTTTTGGTCTTTTTGAGACAAGGTCTCCCTGTAGCCCCAGCTGTCCTGGAACTCACTATGTAGACCAGGCTAGACTTGAACTCACAGAGATCTGCCTGCCTCTGCCTCCCAAGTGCTGGGATTAAAGGCATGCGCCACCACACCCGGCTGGTTTTATATTTTACGTATATTCATTTCATGTAATTTTGAGCTATTTGATATGCGTTTTCTTATATTTTATGTGGTCCTATTTTGACCTCATAATTTAATATATTTCATATAACCAGAGCACACAGACTGTTTTCTAAAAATTCTTGCAGTAGCGAGCTTTCGGGGGCAGACCCTCATGAAAGAGCAGAGTGATGCTTTCTTATTCTAGTCTCATTGGTTTTGCGTCTTGCTGTTAGTAGAGTTGACAAAAGGGAGACAAGCTTCTGTCCAGTATGAGTTCATGACCATCCTCATCTGACCTTTTCTTCATATTAATTGTCAGTTTTCTTTGTTAGTGTGTCCAGCTTTTAATTATTGTTCTATTTCTAATTTTAAGGAAAAAATAGAATATGATGAAAAATTACTACTTATGGATGCCACACAAAAACATTTCAACTCCAAACTTATGATAACTCTTTCCTAGATAGTGCAGGGGTGGGGGGTGCTTTTATTAAAACAACCTATACCAGATCTGGATGTGGTTAAGTACTGATAAGGCTTCTGGGGCAGGGAATTTAGAAGAAATGAGTCCCAAACAATCCAGGGACATGGTTCAAAACCATGCCCTGAAATCTTGATGGCAGAGGGAAGGCAGATGGCACTACCCAGGCTCTTCCCAAAGCGCCTCTCCCAGCTACCCCATCTCAGAGTTTTAGACCATAACCCAAGGACTTTTGCAATTTGTATGATATCAAGAGCATAACAGAAACAACAAAAAGTTATGTGTGGTGGGAAGGATTGTCTGCTGTAGTTCTGTGGCCCTGGGGCAATGAACTGACTCAAGTTCAGTTTACTCATGGTATAGGGTGGTTGTGAGTAATGTGGGCACATATGTGGAGCAGATCTAGCACACTGGCTGATTTATTGTAGGCCTTTGCTATACAGTAGGCATATTAATGAGCTCATCAGCAAGAGCTTAGGAAGAACCTTCTACATGCAAATCTCACTTGTCACAGCTTGTGAGCAACAAAAGAAGTGGACATGCAGGGCTGCCCTCCTGAGCTGCTCACCACAGAGGGAGGAAAGAAGGGACAGAGAGAGCCACAGTCCTCGTGCCAGAGCCTGTGCTGGATTCAGACAATGGCTCTTGTATAAAGACCCAAGAAACGGAGCCACATGTTTAGATATGTCACGGTCTGTGGTATGCTATTTCATTTCTGTGCTGTTTCTGTGAGCTGTGCTGGGGTGTTGTTCCCAGGAGTCCATGGCAAGTCAGAGTTGAGCATTGATGTTGGACTTACAGGGCACCATTGCAATTGGGGGGGTGTCATATCTGATTTTTCTGTGTGTGAACACACAGATATCAGGCCACAGGAACAGGAAACTGGTGTCCAGCATTTGCTGCTCTTCTGAAATAAAAGACTGTGGGTTGGTTGGTAGTCACAGCTAAGTAACACACACCCAGGACAATCAGCAGAACCAGACAGTGGCAGGTATGGAGGAACCCCAGTTCTCTAATTGTATGGTGTTTCTGGTCCAGCATGATTTACTTTAAGAACTTTTCATCCTTGATTTAGAAACACAAGCTTTACCCAGTGATATTTAATCACTGACCTTTAGAAGATATATATAAATAACACAAACCATCATGTACATATGTGTGTGTGCGTGTGTTGAGAAAGAACCCTTCTCTTCAAGATGACTTGGGGGAAATGAGTGGTTTGATTGCACCCAGTGGAAGAACACTCAGATTGCATGAATTTTACCTTGCTCTCCAGACCCTTGCCACAGCCATTGGCAGCTCCCATCCTTTCCAAGGTTGAGGAGCCTCAGCCTTTGTGGAAATTTTCTGTAGATACTCAAATCAGACAAACAGTCATCACTGACTTTTTCCAGTCGAGTGACCATGTTAAATAACACAAATCCAGTTCCAAATAAATGTCTGAATCAGTCTAGTTCTTGGGTCTCTGGATTTGTGGTCTTCCCCTATCCATGGGAGGTGAGACAATGGATCCTGAAGTCAACCTGTTGGCATTTCACTGACTATATGTGTGTGTACATAACCCTACCTTCCAGGAAGAAAAAAAATCCCCAGGGAAACCATGCCAAAGGGTGGGGACAAGGAACAAAGGACGGGAAGAAATTCTGTAAGAAGCCGCCTTCATTAATCACCGCCCACTCAAGGAGGTACTGCCGCTTGTTTATTTAGATATCTGCAAGCAAGAAGGTTCTGGATTCCTAAAGATTGCCTCATTATGAGGTTGAGCTGAAAGTCATCAACTTTGTCTCATGCCTGGCCACCACCCAGCCATCCTCTCTCCCTGTCTTGAGGGCAAGGAGAGAAGGCAGGCTCAGGGCAAGGGGGAAGGGCAAAGGCCACCTCCTCCGAATCCTGGCTGTTCGTGGCTTCACTTTGCTTTTCTCAAGGCTGAAGGTGTAACCAGTATGGAGAGGGCCGTGGTGAAGAAGACAGACAAAACAAGAAAAGAGATTATCTAGAATTGGCTTGGAAAGAGTGGGTCTGATCTGTTGCAGATGCACTATATAGAAGCTGGCCAGCTTTTCCCAGAAGTGCTGGGAAAGGGCAAAGAACATCGGCTTTCCAATCACTCTGCAGTGGTGCCTTATTCTGTTTCCAAGTTCAGAAGAGGAGCTGATCCAAAGCCGTAGAGCAGCCCCTGTGAGGCTGAGGAGGGCCTGTGTAGACTCTTGGGCACTGAGACATCCACTTAAGTGGCACTGATTGACCCCTCTAGCCTTGATTTGGTGGCTGTAAAATTCCATCTAGTAAGTCTCTTGCCCAACCCAATAGAGTCTTCATTCTCTCCCTTTGAGAAGAATAGGTCCCTTCTGTGCAGTCTCAGTGCCCATGGTCTTATACTCTTGATCAATCACAAGTGGAGGCAGCGAACGGAAAAGATGCAGAATTAGCAATTCATGCTCTGAACGGGTGTACCACTCTGAGCAGGGTGGCGAAATCCCACGCCATGCTGCCTCACTCAGGATGTGACTCATCCCGTGTCCAGTGGATTCACGCTGTGTCCGCTACTCGCCCTTAGTCACTTAGTGGCCTTTGTGGTGATCAGAATGTCATTGCATCACAGTGCTTATGTTCAAATAACCGTTCACAGTGGACCCAAGACAAGAATGATGATGCTTGAAGTTGAGACATGTCAAAGAGACCCTAGAAAGTACTTCCTGTAAGAGAAAAAGGGAAGGAAAATCCTTAATTAACGAGAAATGAAAATCATCGTATCTGAGGTTGCTAAGATCTGTGTTTAGTGTGAACCTTCCATCCATGAAACAATGAAGGAGAACAATTATACTGTTGGAATTGCCTTATTTTATTGCTGTTGTTAGCTGCACTTTATTGTGAGTGTGCATGTAGGACTATATTGTGCATATGAGTGTTGTTCAAGTCCACAGTTTCAGGCATCCGCCAGGGTCTGTGAACTGTATTCCCACGGAGAAGCAGGCTTTGTGGTTATCAGACGTCAGAGCCGCTCTCTCTCCCAGCCCTGATTCCTGCCATTTTCACACAGGCAGGTGACTCCTGGTTGTGGGATGCCAGGCAGGGAGACCTGTCCATGGCCTTCCTTTCACCCACCATCAAAACAATCACTCCCACTGGCCCAGGGTTTCATGCCTGGACTTCTACCTCTGTTCCTCATGGCACTGTTGGGTTGCTTTCTTCTTATGGCTCCTCCTTTGAGAAGTTTTTATTGTGGTGAAAACATATAGAAAACTTTATCACCATAACCAGTCATGTCAGTATGTTCGCATTGCAAAACAATGAGCATTCTTTAAATCAGGACCATTCCTAGGAGAGATGGTATGCTAGTCTTTGGAATAGAAGGTGGGTGAGCTTTTTAAGCTCTTAGATAACTTCCTTTCAGTGGGAGAGATGGGTGGGGGAACAATGGGAAGAGGGGATTGCTGCTACAGAGGAGGTCAGGGAAAGAGGACAGAAATGAGGGGTCGCAAGCCACCTTGTGAGCCGCCCCTAGTATAGAGCCACATAATTTCATTTCCTGCCCCAAAGACAAGGGAGTGTTTAAAAGAGCAGTGTTTGTTATTGATTGCAGATAGCTAATTCTTAAAATACAGCACAATCCACTTGGAAAAACATTTTGTTAAAGATAAACTAAAATGTGCTTTTTACAGTCCATAACCATCGTAACCTAAATATTTGCCACAATAAAGCGTGTCACAAAATGCATTGGCAATTCCTAGAAATAAGATGATCTCATTTAAACAGCTTCAAGACAAAGCCATTGACACATTGAGGACTGTCAATCAGCTTTCTGTGTGACAAAATGCCTGAGAAAACTTAAAAGAAGGAAAGGCGGTTTGGCTCATGATTTTGAGGCGTTGGTCTGTGGTCATTTGACCTTGCTGCTTTTGGGCCTGTGGTGAGGCAGTGCCTTTGTGGTGGGAGCAGGGACTGAGGCCCAACATCAGCTTCAAGGACGTGCCCTCAACAACCTGACTTCCCTCCACTGGGTCTGCCTCCTACAAGCTCTATCATCTTCCCCAGCACTGTGAACTAGAGACTGAATCTTCAACACAGGATCATTTGGGAGAATTCAAGTCCCAGATTATAACAAGGACTAAATTTAGGCGTCTGTTCCGAATACCCCAAGCAGCTGTTCCCAAGACACCACAGCTAGGAACCAACGATATAACCACCAAAGAACTTCTGGCTCTTTAAAAATGAAACACACTCACATTGTGCGACCATCATCCAATTCCAGAATGTTGTGTCTTCCCAAACTGAAACACTGTTCCCCTTAAACACTAGCCCCTCACTTTCCCTCTCAGCCTCTTCCAATACCATATATGTCCTCTTTCTATGAGTTTGGTCACTCCAGATAGCTCGTGTGATTGGAGCCACGCAGTATTTGTCCTTTCGTGACTGCCTTATTTTTCTTAGTATAATATTATATAATAATAATATATAATGTATCTTCAAAGTACATTCATGTCCTGGCTTGTGTCAGAATTTTACTTTTTCAAGGCTGAGTAATACCCTGTTGCATGTATACACTACATTTTGTATTTTTACTCATCTGTATATGGATGCCGGTTGTGCCCACCTTTTGGCCACTGTGGATAACAGCGCTATGAACATGGGTAAGCACATGGCTTCTTGCTGTCTGAATTCTGCTGCCCATGGACAGATTATAAGTCATCTTTCTTGTCACCCTTTCAGATGCTAGTCAGGGCCTGCCTTCATGGCTTTGTCTGTCCCCTCTTACAATGGCTTTCAGCCTCAGAGTTCTTAATCTCAGTAAACTGGTTTATTTCATCCAGCTTCTCAGAAGGGGGCAGATCTGAGAGCTGTATCCTCAGATCCCTTGAAGGGATTGAATCAAAGCTGTGACTATGTCAAGGATCAGTATCCTGAGATAAAGACATATGAAAATGCAAACAAGCAGCAGGAGGTAGGGTCTGGGCAACGCTCTGAAGTTTTCTTAAAACTGGCAGGTGTGAAGTGGATCTGAAAACTTCCATTATCCCAGGCTAGGCCAGCAACTGGTGGATAGGAGGCTGATAGCCCACCTCCTGGAAGCCAGCAAACATGGCCCAATACACTGTAAGGAACAAGAATTGACCTAAGGACAGAGAAAAAGATGTTCATGTGATCTTTTTTTTT